AAACTGTCTGTGCCAACCGTTTATGTAGATGTTTTCAAATCATCATTGTCTAATATTGGTTGTGTTGTTGTGAAGATCAAAGTCGGGTGATGGAGGTCGCCATTAAAGATGTGATGCCCCAGACGGCACACCATTGGTGCAAGTGGCATGTGTTGAAGAAGGCAAAAGAATCACTCAGTTCATTGTACACGAAGAAGAGCGAGTTTAGGGAAGAGTTCCACAAGGTAGTAAATCACATGCTTACAATCGATGAATTCGAGGAAGCTTGGAAGATATTGGTGGAGGAACGGCTATATGACGCAGCTATATGATATAAGACACAAGTGGGCGAAGCCTAATTTTAAAGGTGTTTTCTGTGCTAAGATGACCAGCACCCAGCGCAGCGAAAGTGCAAACCACATGTTGAAGAACCATGTTCTGCCTGGTTGTCCAATGCATATGTTTGTCAAGAAAGACATGAGACTTCAGTCTACGAGGAGAAGCGGACACGAATAGTAAGTCATATTTGATATTTGCAACTAGATGTCTAGTAGTAAATAGGGTCATTGATTTGATGCATCTATATTTCAGGGTAGACCACTGTACAGAGCAACCTTAGCTATAGAGAGACATGCTGGTAAAATATAGACACGGGTTATGTTTGAGCAGTTTGGACATATTCTCTATGAGTGCAGCGCATACCAAGTGGACAATCTTGAGAAGGGAAAATTGTATCTTGCCATTCATATCGAGGCTGCTAGGAGAGAAAAGTGGTGTGGGGTGTCATATAAGGTAACTATTCTCGAAGGTGGTGATGAATTCGACTGCGAGTGCGGGCAATTTGCACACATGAGACTACTTTGCAGCCATGTTTTGAAGGTACGGTGACCGATAAAACTTAAGCATATGTTTTTCTAGATATGCATACAGTGTGTGCAATATCTGATGCACTAACTGAGCAAATTGAACTTTGCAGGTGTTGGATTTCATCTGTATTATAAAGATACTGCAGAAACACATTGTGAAGCGATGGACCAGGGACGCACGGGACATACTACCGGCTCACCTTACTCAATATCAGAGAGATAATGCACACAAAAATCCATCCAGCTTCAGGCATTTCAATATGTACATGCATGCCATGGAGTTGGTGCGGATGGACGATGCAAGTGTGGAAGCATATGAGAAATTCATGACTCTCATTAAGAATTGCATGGTCCAAATGGAACCATTTGCAGAAATTAGGGATGGGCTGGGTTTGGAGGACAGGGTTGGTCAACATGGAGATGTTGTTAACCAGCTGCCAGCACATACAACAGTTGTTGCAGCAAGTGGAGGTGCAGGCATGGGGACTCTGAATGATGATGCTACCTCTGCAAATGAGAGTGGGAACAGACTCACTGGTTTGTTGGCGCCAAAGAAAAGGAAAGAAATGGAGCGCTCGACAAATAGCCGCGAGAAGGCACCGTACGAGGGGCCAGCAAACGGACAAGGTTTTGCAGCACATGTCGGCAGCAGGGGTACAAGAGGACTACCTGCCCGGACCGGGGTGATGCGCCGAAGCCTGTTCGCAAACCAGCGAGGTGCATAAGTTGTGGAATTGAAGGTCATAGGCGAAACAACTGTCACAAAGTGGGTGATCTGCGGGTGATTGGCATGTGAGGACTTGGAAGAAACTATCTGTTAAGACTACAAATCTGTAGAACTAAATGTGTGCTTTGGTAGTTCCGTCAGTAGAACTTTTCTAGATTCATGTTTGCTGAGTGTATTCAGCAGGTGCTATGAATGCCAAAAATCAGTTATGTATTATCTGAAAATAATGTATGCTTGAACTGGTCTGAATCTAAACGTTGGAGGGTTTGCATAAATGAACGTCCAGATTTATGAATTTTTGTACACCCTGGTGATGCATTTTGAAGTTGTGAGCAGTAAGTTGGTGTACATATTTTTGATATTGTTGGCACTATGTTGATGCATTGTGGAAATTTCATGACTGGCAAACGTGACTTCCGACATAATGAAATCCTGAAGTCTGAATTTTTCCATAGATCTGGAAGTGAATTCTGAGATCCTGAAGCTAATCAAATTTCATATAAGCTGGTGCATGTGTTTTGCTGGGCTGCAATATAAATTGTCAGAACTGCAGTGTGATCATGGTGTGTGCTCATTGGAAAATCAAATTTGAGCAGATTTTGGTATGCTTGCCTATTGCGGAGTCCCATGCAGCTAAATATTCTGACACGTAGCACTGTGCATTATTGACAGTTGTATGCCTGTGGGTGGCGTCGCGCCCATTGCTGTACTGACCCCTTTCGAATTTCAAGCACCAAGAGCGGGGATAACAGGAGCATCAAACAGATTTGAAGCGACGCAGAGCGCACGGGGTGAGCCATTCCTCTGTATTGGTAAACCCAAGTCTGACCATTACAAGATATTGAGCGAGGAGAAAGCGGATGAATGGATTAAGAGGAGTCAGATTAGTAGGCTGCTGGGAAGCTGAGCAGTAATAAAATGGGTACAACCGGTGTTAGTCCAGAATCTGCGCCCTACGGGCCCAGTCTGTTGGTGGACGTCTGATCCATAGCCCAGGTAACTCACGCCGTATCGAGCCTACAATGACAGAAGTGGGCCCTTGTAACTATTCACCACAGCAAATACGGGAATAATACCTGGGCCTATACAGGAGGGATTGTGGATCACGAGGATTGCCGGCGGGTGGGATACCGCGACCACCTGTGCTCGAGCACAGAAGATCACTTTCGATATGTATGTGCCATACTCCATTCATCCCTTCGATCTGAGGATTGGTGAGTACTTGGCCATATGAGAGCTGCCGACGCGTTCACCTAACTATTCATGACTGATAAACTATTCAGGACTAGATGATGTGGAGCTTGCGGCTATGCAAATATGCGATACGCAATAATCCTATACCTACGGGTTGTTTTGTTATGGACTAATCTATAATCTACAGGCTGATGTGTCATCTTGCCTGCTAATCCCTCGATCCCTCCACCCAATCCAATAAGCCCTCGCAGTAAGAATTTTTTCCATATGCATAGCATTGCTCATACAATACGTACGTAGCTCTAAAGTAAACTACCCGCAAAAAAAAACTCTAAAGTAAACTACTGCCCCTACTTTTTTGTGTGTGCAAAACCTAAAGGAAACCACTAGTATACATCTAGAATGACAACCAGTCGTTTTCTTGTTATTCAGACGTCCAGGGAAGGCCTGCCAGAGATGTTTTGCGTGATGAATCACACTCAAAAGCCTTGAGAGAGCCGACGCAGTCGCGCGCGGAGCGAAAAGCACGACTGGGTTTAGCCGACTGCGGGCTGCAGCGGATCCAGGAGAACGCAAAACAAGCAGCTCAGGTTCTTTGATTAGTTAGCACGCAAAACATAATGGATGATGGCATCAGAGGGGCAGCAAAACAATAGTTACTCTTGCCAGCATTACCAAAAACGTTGACAAATGAGAGCCAAGTGTCAGAACCAAGCTCAGTAGTTGGCATCATCTTGTTCCCACTGTCTGCATACCCTGGAACACGATCTAAACATTACACTTTTAACACAGTCACGACTCAGTTGACATACTAGATGTCGATGCGCACAACTAACAGAAGATAAACTACAGTGGTCGGTACTCAAATCTTCCAGCAAAAGTTGAGAGAGACCCCAACATTCAGTACCCCGAATCGAGCAGAGATCCATTAGAGTAACACGTCTGCCGATGTTGACGAAAGTCGAGAGGGGCCCCAGCATTCAGTAGCCCGAATCGAGCAGATCCATGAGAGTAACACGTCATCCGATGTAGACGCCGTCAAGGTAGCGCTCAGGATCACAGTAATCGTCGTACTCATCTGAGTCCAGAATGTAGTCAGGCCCACCATAGAAGCAATCTCCATCACTGTCAGAGCTAATGCCCATACCAAGACCTGACCAGAGAGGGCTCAAAGCCTCAATGTCGTAGTCATCTGTCGAGTCGTGGGGAAGCCTCAGCGTCTTGATCCTGGAGCACTTTGCTCGCAGGGCGTCGTCCATGACGATGTTAAAGCAGTGGCGAATGTCAAGGGACTCGAGGTGGACGCAGTTGTCGAGGATCGCCACCAGCCCTTCCTTGGTGAGGTTGCTGGCAAAGAGCTGTAGGGAGCGTAGCTGGAGCAGGGAGCGTAGCTGGAGCATGGTTGCGATTCCTTTGGCGACATCGTTCTTGTTGTACCTAAACTCACTATCTGCGTCTTCGCCATCACTGTCGTCTTGGAGATTGTAGAACCGAAGCTCACTCTTTCTGAAGTGCCTTAGCTGCGGGCATGCTTTGCTGACCTGAAACATATGCTTCCCACCTATATTTGAACACAATGAGAGCTCGAGCTCCTCTAGTAGAGGGAACTTGTTCATTGCCTCCACCAATTCTTCAATGTAGACACGGTGGCAAGAGATGAGGCAAAGACTCTTCAGAGATGGAGCTCTGCAAACATGGTACTTGGATATTTGGTTACCAGCATAAATGGCCTTTCAAAAGAAAAAGTAGAAGCATGGTGTACAAAAAAGTAAACACAGGCCCACAGAAGAGAATCTAGATAGATGACTGCAATAGGGTGACTGATTAAGACAATTTGGTAGATAAATCAGACACGATCACTGGTTCAACATTTACAAGGGTTCCATGACATGTAATTTGTGCAACGATTGTTTATTTGAAATGAGGAGGATCAATCAGTCGTTATGTCTGGCTGCAGAGTCCAATTATAATTTAGCAGCATCAATATTAATTCAGAGTTTCTCCAAATTTTTTGACCATTTCACATGGTAGTGCTTCTAACTGTTGAAAAGCTATCTTAGAATTACACGCTATTTCAAACTAGCTAATCCCAAGAAGCATGTTGCTTGTCTTAAACAGTTACAGTTAATATGTCAACTACCCTATCACCATTGCCACATCAGTCCATAAGCCGGTTACACCGTAATTTTGAGCGCACACTTTGCAAGGTGCGCCCTACCACTATCCAAAAACAAGCACCAAAGGGTTAGTTAACTAGTATTAAACCAAAGTAAACTCAGCAAAATAAAGCAACTTAATGAATTCTCAATTATCAACATGTTGCAGAGCATTTCTATATTCTATTGCTGGAACCAGCCTTAGATGCAGTTAATATACTTCAGAGTTACATTCAGCATTCACTTCACCGTCGCGAAAGTATGAATAAAACATAACGTAAAGGCTACAACACTGAGCAGACATTTTCCCACTTGTGCACTTAGTTTCCTACTGTCCCATGCTATAGAAATAGTATGAAACATTCAGTGGAACAGTATACAGAATCAGGCATATGAATATAGCTGATCTATGTCTATAACCAACTGGATCATGACTAGAAAGCATCGACAATATCCATTATGCAATGCAGAAAATATCCTAAAATTTCGGAATCCACAATTTCGAACGAAAGCATCGACAATTTCTTTTTCAGTATGATACATTATCTAAACGATCCTAATCTTGAACAGACCAGCTATAAGAAATCCTAATTCGAGGACGAAATGAAGCACGAGGGTCATCAGCCAAACGATCAATCAGAGCCGAGTAATTAAGAGCCCGACAGTTAGAGGGAGAGAGTCTCACTGGTCGCCGAGGAAGAGGATCAGGCCTTCGTGCGCGGCGTACTCGCCCCAGAACGCCTCGCACTGCCCCGCGCTGCGGCGGACGGCGACCTGAGCCATCCCGCAGAGGTAGAGCTCGTGGATGTCCGCGTGGCCGCGCATGTCGATGCGGCGCCAGAGCGCGGGCACGTCGCGCGCGGCGCGGCGCCAGGAGCGGCACACCTGCCCCGCGCCGGTCAGGATCTCGACGTGGTCGAGCTTGTGGAGGATGGCGCAGAGCGCGTCCAGCAGGAGCCCCGCCCAGTCCCTCGCCTCCTCCGCCGCAGGCGCTGGCGCTGGTGCTGGCCCCTTGCGGCCGCGTCGTCCGCGACGGCGTCCGCGACGGCGGCGAGAGGAGGAGGTGGAGGAGGGGTGCGTCGCGCCATGGGGTTGGGGTTGAGGCTCTGGAGGGTTAGGTTTTGGTGGAGCGGGGCGTGAGGATGGGATGCATTCCAGCCTGTAGACAACGGCCGACGGCGGAAGCTCCGCAGCGTTTTGATTTTCGGTTTGTGATTTTTCTCGCCGAGATGGCCGAATTTCGGTCGTTTTTAAAAATTTCGGCCGAAATTTGACCAAATTTTGACTGAAATTTGATTAAAATTTGACCAATTTCGGCGGAAGATAGATTTCGCCCTAGGCCGAGATGGCCGAAATTCGGCCGAAATCCATTTTTTTCGGCCGAAATTCAAAACACAGGCTCCGCCTCGTCAATCGTGACCTCCCCCGCCCCCGTTATCGGCGCTGGAGGATTAGGAGGAGGCTTGCGGTTGCCGCGGCGGTGGCGACGGCGGCGGGAGGAGGAGGAAGGCATCATCGCCACGGGAGTCAAGTGCCACGAGACTAAGGCTGTGGAAATGGAAATGGACCACGGTTTTGCACTTGTTTCGTCTCTCCGATCGAAGGGCCGCGTAGCCGCGCATATCGATCCAGGCCCAGGCCCACCCAGTACAGTACTCCTTCCATTCTTCTATCTACTCCTACTTTGTCTCAAAAAAAAAATCTAGTCCTACTGGCTTCACCTAAAAAAAAACTACTCCTACCGGCTAGCTAGGGTTTCTCCTGCTGCCGTCGCCGTCGCCATCTAAGAAATTTTGCCCTCGCCTCCAGGTCATCTTGGCGCTGAGAGGTGGGGGACCTCGGATCTTCAAGACATTTATGTTCTCCGTCAACGCCCAGCGATCATCATAGTTTTGTGAGAATAAACTTTCTCTCGTTCTTTTGTCAGCCATGAGGTTAGAAAGTTTTCTGTCCTCGCAGGTTCGATTATTCAGATCTGATGAGTTTATGTTGTTGTGTCAACATTTTTTTGTTGGTTTGATTTTTTGTGGAGTTGAAATCTTTCATCGACACCATGATGAAGGATATAGTGATTCGACGGCCTGCATTTCTAGGGGATCATCCCCGGCCCAAGCACATCCATCGATCAAGGCATCTCATCTTTTTAGATGGGCGACTCTAGACGCTTTCAAAAGTCATTATTGGTAATATTCGTGCGGGTGAAAGAATGACACCATCGTTGCTCCAATCTAATTGCAGCCTCTTTATCAAAGTCTTTGAAGTATTTATTCAAGAAGAAATTGGTACCGCGAAGAAGATGTTTACAAGAGATTTCATTGTAATTCTTAGTGATAGGAGTTACTTTGTATTTTCTTGAATCTTAGGTCTATATCAGTGTATCTGTAATTGTTATGAGTATCAATAAAGTTACATGTGTTTCTCAAAGAAAAGCTACTCCTACTTTTCACGTCGTTCTATTAGTCGTGTCTCATATCTAAATGATCTCCGAACCATTTAGAATAACGAACACCCGCTGTTTCCTCTAACCGACGAGCACAGTGGATAGCACCGCCGGCGGATCTAGCAAAGATAAATGTTGATTCTTCTGTGGGGCGTGGAGGTACTCATGGGGCGGTGGGCACGATATGCAGGGACCAATCTGGCCTGTTCCTAGGTGTTTCAACACTTGTGTTTCCAAAGATTTCGGATTCAGCTACACTGGAATGTTTGGCTATCAGAGAGGCCTTGGCGATAGTTGATGATCTTTATGAGAGAGGAATACACGTGGCATCGGACTGCAAGGTGATCGTCGAGCACATACATCAAAAGTGTAGAGGAATAGGGCAAGTCATATCCTCAACTATACACAAGAAGGAGACTTGGAGTACAAGAATACATGTGCTAAATACATATCTCAACAAAAAGAATCCTGCGGTCTATGGTGCCATCATACATGAAATCATACATAGGAAGAACACTTCTACTACTTGTAATATTATTCATGAACTTAGGAGCTCGAACTTTTTTTTTTTGAGGGAAGGCCACTATGGCTAGCTTTATTACGATCAAATAATCAGTACATCGTCTACTAATAAGGTAGCTAAGAGACAGACCGGGGGTTCATCTACCCAGCTACAAGAAATCTTATTACAGTAGCTATGTTTAGCCAGCACATGCGCCGCTTTATTAGCAGATCAAAGACAATGCTTAAACTTGACCTTCCCAATCAAAGAGCTGATATCTACACATTCCGCAAAGATGGCTGATGCAGCATCCCACCAAACCGATTGGCCCGAGCAAAGATCTACAACATTGAAGGAGTCAGATTCCGCTTCCACACGGTGGAATCCCATTATATTTGCAAAGTTGAGGCCATCACGCATAGCTATTGCCTCCATGGTCATTGCATCTGCTGCATTTGGGACATAGGTACACCGCGCAGCCAGAAAGTTACCTTTGACATCTCTCAGCACTGCGGCAGTAGCTCCACAGCCATCATCCACGTGGAAGGCAGCATCAACATTTAATTTCACATATTTTGGTTTTGGTTTCGTCCATTTGTGCTCTCTGGTTTCAGTTTTCCTCTCACAAGATCTCTGGTAATTACTTGCAATTGCTAGAACAGAAGCTGGCCACCTCGAGGATGCAGGGGAGGGTTCATTATGTGTGATTCGCCTCCTAATCCACCAAAGATACCAGATACCTACAGCAATAGCTTGCTTCATGTCCAGATCTGGCTTAACCTGTAGAGATGTCTCTGGAAGCAAAAGTATATGCTCCAAAATTGCTGACCCGGAACGATCAACCGTGGTGGCATCAAGCACTAGTTCAAGGATTCCCAGTCTATTCCACAACTCCTTTGCATGTTCGCATTCACACAGTAGGTGACGAATGTCCTCGGCTGCTTGATGACATATGGGACAAGCCCCATTAGACCCAATATGCCGATTGGTGAGGATGGACTTTAATGGTACAATTCCATGAAGAATTCGCCAACAAAAAATTTGAACCTTACGTGGGATTTTCAGCTTCCAGATAGTACTCCAGATCGCCGGCACACACGACCCTCCTGGGCGATGTATAGTAATTGCATGTGCCTTGTATTTTCGTATCCACTGGGTATGGTATGCCGAGCGTACAGTAAAAACTCCGCGCCGATCCGGTTGCCAGGCAATGAAGTCATCAAAGCCTTGCAAATTAACTGGGATTTGCATGATCCTGTTGACATCAACCGGTATGAGAATTGATCGTAACAACTGTTCATCCCACGATCCAGTGAACGAATCGATCAATTCACACACCCTTGAGACGACTGTGTGCCCCCTAGCGGAAATGATTTTTCTATCTGGACTTGAGGGTATCCATGGGTCATTCCAAATATTCACAGCTTCTCCTGTTCCAATTCTCCAAATATATCCCAATTTGAAAGTTTCAAGTCCCTTTAGGATACTCTGCCATGTGAAAGATGAGCCATTCTTTGGCGTTGCTTGCAAGAGGCTTCCATTCGGAAAATATTTGGCCTTCGGGACTTTAGCACACAAGGAATCTGGATACATAATGAGTCTCCAACATTGCTTTGCGAGCATTGCCAGATTGAAAGATTGTAGATCTCTAAACCCCATGCCTCCTTCACTCTTCGGGTAACATAACTTCCACCAAGAAAACCAGTGTATTTTTCTATTTTCCTCATCATCTCCCCACCAAAATTGAGCAATTAGATCTGTGATTTCCCTGCATATCCCCACGGGTAGACTAAAAACAGACATAGCAAAGACTGGAATGGCTTGAGCAACAGATTTTAATAATATCTCTTTCCCGCCAGTGGATAGTTGTTTCTCCATCCAACCTCTGAGCCTCTCTTTTATTCTTTCACAAAAATGTTTAAAACAATCACTTCTATCAGCTCCCACCATAGCAGGTAGACCCAGATATTTATCAGACAGTGCCTCAGTGTCAATATGTAGGAGTTGACAGACTTCAGTTCTAGTGATAGCTGAGGTATTAGGACTGAAGAAGATGCTAGATTTTGATAAGCTCACCATTTGTCCTGAACTTTGGCAGTAGGAATCTAGAACTTGCTGTAAGGAAGCTGCATTTAAAACATCCGCGTTCATGAGAATCAGAGAATCATCAGCAAATAAAAGGTGTGATACTGACGGTGCATTCCTGCACACTCTAATTCCCTCAATGCCACCAGCTTCTTCTTCAAACTGCAAAAGACTAGAGAGCCCTTCTGCACAAAGCAGGAAAAGGTAGGGGGAGAGGGGATCCCCTTGCCTAATACCCCTAGTAGGGGTGAAAGAATCTGTCTCCTGAGAATTAAATCTCACCTTATATCTCACCGAACTGACACATGCCATTATCATATCAATCCATTGTTCATGAAATCCTAGCTTCTGCATCATATCTCTCAAGAATGTCCATTCGACTCGGTCATAGGCCTTGTGCATGTCCAGCTTAACTGCACACAGTCCTGTGTGGCCCGCCCTTTTATTTTTTATTTTATGCACACATTCATATGCTATCAAGATGTTATCCGTGATCATCCTACCGGGGACAAAGGCACTTTGTGTTGGAAAGATTACTTCCGGTAAGATGCTTTTCAGGCGTGCTGCTAACATCTTAGAGATAATTTTGTATAGGACATTACACAAGCTAATGGGACGAAATTGAGTCACCAATTCAGGAGAGTCAGTCTTTGGTATCATGACAATAGTTGTATTATTCCACTCAGCCGGAATTTTTCTAGTATTTATTGCATATAAGACTTCATGAGTTATCTCTTCCCCAAGGATATGCCAATACTTTTTAAAAAAGATTGCATGTAGACCATCCGGTCCAGGTGC